AGGGAAAGATTAAACACCTTCAATAACTATTCATATGAATCTCACAGAGTAAAGGCAGAGAAAGTGACATTACAATGTGACTTAAAACATTATTAAATTATTGCAATATATGTCTATGTGACATTTCTGTATATTTTGATATAAATTTGACAGTAGATCTGATTTTTCTACAAGAAAATTCATGTAATATAGTTCAAATCTATTTCTGTTTACCAGTAGTTGGACTGACTCGTGTGAGTAGCACCACAGGGGGTACTATCTAAGTACTAGAGGCAAGGATAGGTCTTTGTATCCTCCCCAATTCTGTGTATTTTTTATTTTCTGTGGGTTGTAAAAATTTATGATACTGTCCTGTCAGCTTTTCACTGAATAGAAGCTCTAGACAAGGGGTTGTATTCTTTTTATAGGTGACTTCAGATTTGCAGGATTCGCATGTGTGTTCACCTATCATGCTCATATTAAAGGTTCTAGTGCACAGTTCAGTAGTATACTGCTAGTATATTGAGGCAGAATAGCTAAGCAGTTGCAGATGTAAGCAATGAATATCTATACAGAGCTGTTTCAGTCACCTTTTGAGCTTTTTAGGTTAAGTGGTTTAGGTTTTCTTTTTTTAAAACTCTGAGATGTATGGAAAATATCTTTGTAATTTTAGGATAATTTTTCAATACAAGAATGATACTACTTTAATGTGCATATTGTCGCTGTATTGACTCTGTGTGTCTTCTTATCTCTGCAGGAGAATTACATGAGGCTAACAGTTCTGATGCAAAACGAATGTCAGAAACGGCTGATACTGGTATGAACAGCCAGGCGGGGGATAAGTCAAAGGAAGACATTGAGTCAGAAAGGACTTCTGTGGCCAGGGAAACCTGGATTAGCTTTGAAGACTTCTGTGTTTGTTTCCAGTAAGGAGCAGAGGGTTTGGGGTTTATTCCATTAAATATACAACATAACAATGGTAAAATGCAAAAGGTGACTATATAAAAACTGTATCTTCTCAACAGATCTTCTTTTATAGCTACCCTGCCTTTCAGGGTAGTCCCAGGGCTACTCTTCTGACCAGATTTACTGTCTCTGTTGGCAGTGAGTCTGTAGGTGCAGCCCCATGCTGTCTCTCGAGTGTGTCCTCCAGAGTACAGCAGAGAACACAACCACCAGCTTCATGAAGTGTATGTCAGACTGAAATGTGGGTGGGAGATGGTAGGTCAGGGAGCGTGTAACCATCAGGGTGCTCACATACCTTACCCATCAGCCAGGGTCTGCATCTGAACAACACAATTCTATGGCAAAAAGAAGTTGTTGAAATCCTCTGTTGCCCTCAGCATAGCTCAGCTTGGTCAAGTAGGTGCTTTCTTTCTCTCCCTTTTCAATATAGTTCCAAGGTGATTAAACCTCCGCAAACATAGAAAAGCTAGTGTATTTGTAACATAACATCTTTAGCGTCTGTCTTTCAGATTTAAGAAGCCTTATACGCTATAGATCCTTTAGAGAATTTGACATTGCTGAGGGGAGTAATTAGAGAAAATTCATCCAGGTTTTGTTTTTTTTTTTTTATTTGAATTTGTAACTCAGATTTCTTTGTGAAGCTTTTACTTTCATAAATGAATGTTTTCTTGAGCAGATATTAAACTCTGCTCCCTCTCTGAGGGAGAATGTGTAACTTTTATACCAGCAACACTACTTTAGGAATAAAAGATCACGGATCACTTTAGACCTTGTTAAGGTTGGCCTGTCTAATTTTAGGGATCCCCAGGTCCAGGAAGATATGGTCTTCAGAAGAAAAGTATCACAAACAAAATAATTTCCTTTCCTTTCAAAGTGTTGCTCACAGTGTTGTACACAGAGAATGTAAAATATGAAGTTTTTAACTTCTTAACAAACGTAAAGTACTGTTGACCTTTTGTAGACCACTGTAATATTAATTAATACAGAAAGCATTTATCAGTTTCTTATTCCTGTCCCTAAAGGGGTGAGAGTTGACTTATTTTCACAGTGAACTGATAAAGCTGCTGTTAACAAAGCATCTTGATTAACCTTTGAAGGATTTATCACTCAGAAGAAATCAGGCATCTGAGATTTTTATTTTACCAGTCAGTTCTGTTGAAAGCATCTCCTTGTCTGGCATGCCTATATCTCAGATACAGTGAAAATAAAATGGATGTTCAGAGTTCATATCAACTTTGAGAAATGAGGAAAATTTTAGTCATTGTAGGAATTGATATGTCAGCAATGGATCAGGATCCCTGTGAAGCCTCTAAGTAATCAAAATATTTCTTTTACATAAAACATTGGACTTCACATCTGATTCCATCCTCATTTAAAGCTGAAGTCATTTATATTGCCCTTGTTTAAATCAAGGTCAGAAAAAATTGTTGTCAGGAATTAAGTAGCTTTCTGACGGTGTGCAAACACCACAGAATTGAAAAAGCACATTCATAAACTGTAAAAAATAGTTCTTCCTTACAGCAAGACTTTATAGATAACTTTATTACCGTAATTTTCAGGTAGGCATGGACGTTTTAGAGTAATATTAGCTTATTACCATTTATAGATTCAAATTGGACAAATTAGTGGCCTGACCTCCAATGGAAAACTGTAGAAGTGCAGCAAAGGTAGAAATTAAGGTCAGCTGCTTTCTCTGGTGATTAATTGTATTCACCTTTTATGAAACTAAAACCATTGAACTGTATTCGAGAAATAGATGGGAGTCTGATTTATGACAGTAAAATTAGTATCTTATGCTATGAAATAGACACTTACCTGAAATGTATCATTTATACTAAGATTATTTTCCTACATGTATTTTTATTTTATTTTCTCCCTAGGAACCTGTATGTTTTCCACAAGCCACATACATATGCTTATAACTATCAGAAGACAGATTTTAAGGTATAAGACTGTACTGAGTTTTTATGTGCTTTTATTTTAATTTTTGTCAAAGTCTTGCATAATTAGATAATACATATATACTAAATGACATTGCTAGATCACATAGAACTGCTATTACTGAAAAAATAATAATGCCTTAAGATTACTATAGTCAATACAAAGATAATGCTTGCTAGCAAACATCCAGAAGTGCTTCACTGTGTTTAAGACAAGAAAAAAATGGTGTGGAATGCTATTGCACAATAATAAAAAAAACTGAGTATGTATATCATGAAAGTTGGTAGTGAGAGTACATATTACAGTGAATCAGACCTCCATCCTCTCTTTATCTTGATTTAAATCTACCTTATAACATTTTAGAGACTAATTAAACTTAATGATGATTCAGCTGCAACTTCAATTCTCCTTCATCTTCACCTGTCACCTAAAACCCAAATCAGGAGTCTGTATATCGCAGCACCCCCATTTTCTCTTTACACGCTAAGTCCTTTAGCAACTTACAAGATTGTGTTGCAGGGCTTAGAAGTACCCCTTAGTTGCACTGAAATTACACTATTTCTTCAAACCTCCCATTAGTTCATATTATCAGAAGGTTATTCAACATGCTTGAATATCCTGTTCCAGCTCCAGTTTTATACTGTAACTGAAGTGTAATTGTAGAGTACTGAAATGTAAACTCCAGGCATGAACTTTATGTAAAAGCCTATACTGAGAAGGTTAACTACATGGATTATGCTTCATAATTGTAGTATATACCTGCAATCTCACAACTCTCTGTATTTGTAATCACATCACAAGAAATTTTCCCAATCACTGCATGATATACTTTCACAAGCCATAATCAGCATTGAGACTCTGTCAGCCTGTGTACTATTGTGCCAAAGACCTAGCCTTGTGCCGTAAAACCATTCTATTTTTTTACATTGATACAGATGAGGGGTTTACACTATTAGGTAAATTCTGTACCAGACTTATAAAAGAACTCTTCTATATTATGCTACAAAGATAATAGTAGTGGCGTTCCAGGACCAAATACAAAAAATGTATTGATATGACTGGACAATGTAGGAAGAGGTGTTGAAACAGTTCTGAAGCAAAGAAGCTCATTCACCTTCAGATTTTGAAGAATTTCTGGGAACAGTAGCATCATTCTGTAGTTTCTAATATTGGCATAGGAATTAGGTATTAAATTTGGGAGTGAAAAGTGCTGCCTCCATGTATTTTTGTAGAAAAAACATAATGAGGCAGAATCAGTCATGTGTTACAAATTAAGAGTGCTTATTTCTTTCAAGCTTACTGTAATTAATTAGAACCAGAAAGCTGCAGCACAAAGCAAAATTTTTAGTCTTCCATTGAATGCTGTTTGGCATGTAGAACTACTGAACTGAAGTACGTATGAAGAATATCGTGTAAAAGTAGATATATTCTCATTCAGGAAACTTTTCTGTTTCCTTTTATCTCTTAACTGAACATTATGCATGCCACACGTGCAGCATGAGGCTCTGGGCTTAAATGACATGTCTGAAATTTGGAAGTAGTAATGACAGTTAATTACTTACTTCCCATACCACACCTAGGGCCACAATATTTGAAATCTTAGTCATACTTCGTATAAGCCCAGGGTAACAGCATTCAGTGAAAAAGAAAGGTCAACAAATGTCTGTTTTTCTACGCAGTCTACTGATGAACGAGTCTTCTATTATCTACTTGTGGACAGTCTGATGCCCATTGAAATCCTGGTTAGCTTTTCTGCATTAGTACACTGGGATGATACTGGAGGTAAGGCCAACACTGAAAAGTGCACGTTCACGTTGTATTTTCCCGTATTTGAATATGCCTGTGCTGTTGTGTTTGGCTGTGGTGTATTTTGGCACAGTTTGAGAGCTCAGCATTAAATAGTCAATTGATTCTACGAAATACATTAATATTCAAGTGATACTTTCTTGCTATTTAATATTGATGATGAATATTTTCTTGAAAGGATCCCTCCCTTTACTGTTCATTACGATTTGCTGAAAGCTCTTCATCAATGTATTTCTGGCATGGATTTTGTTATGTTTCTTAGGGGTTTTTTGTCTACAAATTCCATTCTTGCAAGCTAGTTTATGCCTTAGCTGATCAGAACTACTTGAAAGGAGGCTGTAGCAAGGTGGGGGTCAGCCTCTTCTCCCTGGTAACAGACGATGGTCTGAAGTTGCACCAGGGCAGGTTTAGGTTAGACATTAGGAAAATTTTCTTCACAGAAGGGGTTGGCAGGCTCTGGAATGGGCTGCCCAGGGAGGTGGTCGAGTCCCTATCCCTGGAGGTATTTAAAAGAAGGCTAGATGAGGTGCTTAGGGACATGGTTTAGTGGTGAGATGACAGGATTAGGTTAAAGGTTGGACTTGATGATCTTAAAGGTCTTTTCCAACCTAGACAATTCTAGAATTCTATGAAATGCAGTAAAATCAGCAATATGACCAAAGTTTATTTTTGAAGTGATTTTTAAACTCATGCACTGTAAGCTCTAAAGTATATTTACAGCTGGTGAGATCCAACAGCTTGGATGGTTTAAATAAAAATCACTTGTATTTTATGGAAGTCATAGATTGGCATTCAGAAAAGCTAATGCATATTATGACAATCAGCTTAAGTTAATCAGACATTTAAACATTGGATATGGATATAAGTTTTGTGCAATTAAAGTAGAACAGATAGAACAAAAGGAAAGCTTAAAAAAACCAAACTGGCCATCCCATTAAAATAATTACACCATAATATAAATATAAGCTCTATATGGCTGTTTGCTTCCTTTACATGTTGACAGAATGGATTTTTATGGAGTTTTAGAGCAGCCTTAAGCAACTTGGAAGATGTCTGATTTACACATCCTCCTAACACATTCTTTTAACCATTATTTTTTAGTAAACAGTACAAAAAAGCCATCTTCTGTACCACCTATGCATTTTAAATGACTGGCTCTTTTCTCGGAATTATCAAAGCTTAAATGAAGACTTCAATGACTGAAGTAGATTCTGCATAAGTGTATTTGTCTTCATGTTACTGTTATTCCCCCACAAACTGTGGTTGGGTTTTTTTTTGTTTCTTATTCTAGGTACTAAACAAGAATGTTCTAGTATTTCAAAAGGTGTGCTGATGGTTGAACATTTCTCTTGGAAATGTGTGACTCCTGGAGAACTTGTGTTAAAGATGCATACATCTGCAACTAAAGCTACTGTGTTAAATCTTCCTGTTGGGTATGTACAAGGCTTCATTTCTGTCCTAACACTTTAGTCTTAAGGCTTGAGATGATCTTTTACTTTACACAGTAACTAAGAGTTTATTTCCTAAGCCATAAGTTTTGGAATATCAAACTGGTTGATAGATAGGATTTAGTAAGACTGCAGAATTGCTAGGAATTTAAAATAATTACCAAACACTTGATAAAGATTTTGAATTCTTTACTCTTATTTAAGAGCATTTAGCAAGAATCACCACACTGTTTTTCTAAAAAATAAGCTAGAATAAGAATTCCTAGTTAAAAGTCTTTCTAACTAGAATGATTTTGAGATGTTTCCTGGAGTACCAACAAAAAATAAAGAATTAGGATTTTTAGTGGAACTGTAAAAGAATGATGGTAGCTTTTCTTGAAACAGGATATATGAAACATGACAGGAAACATTCTGAGGTTATCCATGAAGCCTTCCACATCTTGCTTCACATTTACATAGTGCTTAATATGATTTACTTCTCTTTGCATGTAACTCTAGATAGTCAGCATAGAACATTGCTTGTTTGTTTAAGTAAATAAATAGATAAAAGGCAAGAGCCTTTGATATTTGTTAGTTTCTGAAAATGCTTTCAGTGGAACAAGGAAGATGAAATCTTCCTATGTTGCCATAAGCATAGAGTTGCTAATTCATTGAGGCCTTCTACTCTTCCAAAAATAGAAAAACAGCAGTTTAATCTCAAAGAGATGAGACAAAATGTATTTTTAAAAATTAAAAATTTTTAAAAGTAAGGTTTCAAATAAATAGGCATAGAAAGAAAATGCCACAGTACCACACTGATATTAAATCAAAGATCTTTAACAGTGCCCTCTGTTTGTTTTGATTCAGGCTAAAAATGGAAAAGTTATTATTGTGTTTATAGGTTAGTTCTGCCACCACGTTCTTAATGCAGTTTCCAAAAGTTGCATATCTCTGACCTGCAGGGAAGCCAAAACTGTATATCCTTTTGCACCTGCAAATTTCAAAGCTGCCAGAGACACAGGCAGCTCAAATTGATAAGCTTCTCACCTTTGATTCTCTCTCCTTAAGGCAGAGCCAGCAGGCTTTCAGGAAGCTTTAATTTACAGCAGATGTGGGAAATGGGCTTATTGACTGTTCCCCATTTCATTCCAGATGAGAAATGAGTTGCTAAGCCCGGAAGGCACTTTCTTCCCTCTGTCTGTTGATGGCCAGGGGGTATTTCGAATTTCACTCACAAGAAGATGCAATTAAAAAATTGCAGGGTGTGTGTGTAACTCTCCTTTCTTACTCTCGCTGCTGGATCTCTGGTTAGCACTTTGAAGTTGTGGCCTGGATGAACTTCTCCAGCTAAATGCCATTCTGACAATGATACAAGATAATGAAGGTTCACCAGTTGATACAGCAAGCTCCTCAAGCATTTCAGTGGAACTGCAGGACATTGCTACCTGGAGAGAAGAGTATGAATCCCCTGTGTTGTATAGGATACGATCAGGCAGAGTCTGATCTGAGCTGAGTGTATCCCATAAGACATAATGAATTTCTGTTGTTTGCTACCTCAGGAGGTTATGGTTGAATGGTTTGGCCCACAGTTGCTCCATAAAATTGTCACTCTGTAGGTTCATCTAGCCTGACACAATTATGTGTTAATTTTTTCTGGTTTTGTCAATGCAAACATGCAAATTATGATTATAAGTAATGTATGACCAGAACAATTACCTTCTTCTCTAAGTTTTCTAGAGCAAATATGTTTTTACATGTAGTTAGCTATAAACCTGACTAAAAAAACTTCGGGTCTGAACTAGTGATAATACCTGTTTTGCTAAAGAAAACCAAAATAAAACTTAAAGAAATAAAATAAAAATAAAATGATAGTCACTTCTTTGCTTTTACCTACTACCTATGTTTGGAGGTTCTTTTGAAGCAAGGAGACAGAAATGCAGGATTTGAAGAGCCCGTATATTTAGGAATAGGTTTGATTTTTGCCAAATGTATGAAAAGAAAAGCTTAAGAATTGCTGTGATTTACAAAAAGTGCTCCTTGGATTTTTTGTTCTTGCATGTAGGCGACACATATTGCTCTTCACAGTAAGTTCTCCCGTAGGGCACCATATTCATCTGTGTAGCATGGTGCCATGTGTCTTTGGAGAAGAGGATACTGTGATGCCAGGTCTTGAAAAGGTATGCAGAACCAGAACTCGTCAAGCATTGTGATAAAGTTGTTTCTGACTATTATTTAGTTTTAAAGTGCAGTACCATTGGATTTTCATTTAGAGTTATTATACTTAATTGTATAATATTAATTTCTATATTAAATGTATGAGTGCATAAAAGAAATGTGTTTTACAAAACAGCAGGCACTGAGGTGGATATTGCAATAATTGTCTTATATAAATATGTAAGCATTGAGTAGTATTGTGGTTTACATAGAACAGCAGCATAAAAAGGAATGCTAAAAATACATATGTCACCGGTAGTGTATAAGCTCTCTTTTTTAGGCATTGTGATAAGAGGTAAAAATACATGTAAAATGTTAATTAATATTCAAAAATACCTGCCTAGTAAAATAAACTGTCACATCAGTAAAGTTTGTTTTGTCCCATGGGATCACATATTATTCACTGGGTCCCAGAGTAGCTTTTATACTTAAAATGAACAATTGATTCAAGCAATTTTTCATAGCTGAGATAAGAGACCCAGGGGAGTAATTATTACAGCTTTTGTTCTTCATTGCCTAGAATCCAGACAGATATCACTGCCATCCATATTTTCAAGATTTCTTTGGCAAGCAGTAGGCCCAAATATTTGTCATGAGTACTGGGAGAAGGGAGTAGCTTCTAGATCACAACTGTGCCAAAATATTGTGAAAGGTGAGGCAGCAAATTTATATAGCAGTGTAGGTTCAGAGTCCTAATTATAGGACGTTAAAGCAGCTTATGCAAATTTATTACATCTATTGTAGCAAGAAGTTTAAATATAAGAAGTTGGGCCATTAAAAACCTCTTGTGGCTGTAATATCTCCTTGTCTTGAGACGTGGGTGAAAAGCTATTCCTCATGAAGAAAATAAAGCAGAATTATATCCTGGGGTCTTCTCTGCACTTTTTTTGAAGACAACAATTTCTCTGCCGAGTGTCATTTGCTGGAAAGTGTCCACGTTCTTGCACAGAAATCCTGATGAATATTAATGATGCTTTAGGTAGAATGTATTTGGATGTTGTTTTCAGTGGGAACCAAACACTCATCTGTCCTTTTATAATAGAAGAGATGCTGTGCATTTCAGCTAACAAGAGTCTTACTGTCGCTGCCATAGAAATTCTCTACGTGCATCTTATTTTTGATTAAATGTTCTAGAACTAATGATACAGGAAAAATAAAATCCTTAACAAATATATGTTATGCTGCCTGTTAGTGTGTTGTAACATTTGTATTTCAGTAGCTAATGTCAGTGAAAATTTTATATGCTTTTGAATACCAGAGACCTAATTAATTCTACAGTTTATAAAATTAGTAACGATTACCTGACTTAGGAGAAGTTTTGTACTTCAGCTTGTATCCTGTCACAGCCTAGAAAGAAAACAAAAGAAAATCTTAAAGCAGTCTTTCTAGCAATGATTCGTTTTCTTCTCTCTCTCCAGGAGAGCTACCGGTTTATAGAACAGGCTACAGCTATCCTGAAAGCTGTTGGAAATGTGATAAATAATTTCAGCAGTAAGCCTGAACTTTCTAAAGCCTTGAAGGAGTTGGAACTAACTCACTGTCCTCCTGGCCTCCATGGCACTGGAATGGCTGAAGAACACTTCAAGGTGAACAAACAATTTTAATAAACACATATCTAAAGGCTACAGAAGCTGGATAACAGCTTAACATTGTCGTTAACCTCTTCAAACCAATGACTGTGCTTTTAAAAACGACCTCCTGAGTGCTCCAAATGTGGCATTCCTTATTAAGTGTAAGCCCAAATGACATAACTTGCAACTGTGTACTATAATTATCTTCTTTTAATATGAACAAATTTCAGTATTCATAGAGTAGCATGTTCTAATTTTGTCAGTTTAGTTTAGCACTCTTTGGGGCAGAAAGCATCAGCTTTTTTTATTTTATGAGTTAATTTTTGAATTTAAGAGACACTACCTGAAATGCAGAAAAGCCAGACTCAGTCCTTTCTGTGCTTGATGTTGATGGCACAGGTAAACGTTAAAGCTTACATTACTGAAGACAGTAATGAGTTTTTTTCACCTACAGTATTTCTAGGCAGTTTTTCTTCAGTTTTTGAAACTGCAACATTCTTGTTCAACTATTCTGCTCTCTGTGTGTGATAAATTAAATGGTCTTTAGATACATTACACTTTTCCGTAGATCTCTATACTGTAGCTTTTCAATATTATAAAAAGATTGCAACAAAAAAAGTGATGCAAAGCTAATTTTTATGTCTATGCAAATGTTGATAACACTGCTAAAACTTGGATTTTTCTACAGTCAGTACTTTATGTATTCCAGATTCACTTACTTTCATCAAAGTACTGGAAAGCTCATGCAATTTGGACTGTGTATTTTAGAAGACTGAATAGAAGGAAGGGATTAATACTTTTATAATCACTGATATTAAAATTTAGAACTCCTAAGCTAGTGCTTTTATACATGGGCTTGACAGCAGGCTCAAATTCAGCAAAACAGAATTAAGAAAGAATGATTCCAGGTGCACCACTCATGAAAGAGGTAATTTGCATGCCAAGTCTAACAGAAAAAATAACTTTGACCTCTGGAATGGAAAATACAAATTTTAAATTTATATGTTCATATGAAATATGTGCAAAACCTAGGGACCTTAAGAAAAATTCAGTAGGCATGTGCATACATACCTCTTCCTCTCTCCCTCTCTAAAAAGACCAGTGTATATTTGTAAAGGAATGAAAAACCAGAAATGTGATAAATGAGAGGCACTGAATTGACAGTGATTCAAGAATGGAACTATGGAAATTATCTGTCTTTAACACAAACAGTGAAAAATTATTCTGAACATCAGAATGTAGTAGAGTCTTTCTTCACTAGCCTTAAATCTTTCAAAATAAAGGAAGTGGTTGTTAATATTAAAATGCATAACTTCAGATAAAATGTTTCCAGAAAGCAGAAAAATCTGGAAATAGTGACTATGAAAGAGAAAAATTATGTCTTTTCCAATAAGTTATTACCTTGTTCTTCAATGCAAATTTTGAAACAAGCTCTGAAAAACACACTCTAAAATTTCCATCTATTGGAAGAAGGAAAAAGAAACTCAATTTCTGCTCTTTAAAAAATGTCAATATGTTGAGAATAAAGTCAGTTTAGTCATATAAGTTGGACACCAAATCTTCCCCTCTTGCCCATTAATATATATTCCTACTTTTCCTTCTGGTGCCACCTCCTAATTCAGTAAGCATGCCTGTTCAGTTGTTGGTCTCTGTTCTGAATCCTCCTGTAAGAATGCCAGTTGTCATGACGGTGATTGATTGTAATGTGTTCTATCCTCTGGTATGAGACCATCAACTCCCTTCACATAAACTACTAGGATATTTTGGGGTGATAAAAACCTATGTTGTAGAATCAGTCCTGTACTTAATAAGCCAGGCATGAAACAGGTTTTCTCTTGATTGTTGGCTTGAAGCATTGTAGTCCTACAGTTCGGACTAATTTTCAGATATTGTATTTGTTAAAGGAAGTTAAAGACTTAATTTTTACGTGAAAAAAGAAGAAAGCTAAACGGTTTTTGAAACAATAATGAGAATCAATATAAATTTAGCTTTTAAAAATGAATTATTCTTTGACTACTTTTCCTCTGTTTTATTTTTAGGTTTTCAATAGTGCATTTTGGTATTTGATCAAATATGTATTAGGCAAGAAGGCTCCTTACAGCTATAAATTTGCCTTCAGGTCCTTCACTTTGGATTTTAAAGACACTGAGGTTTCTGAAGATGACACTGTGTCTTCAGGTACTGTACTGGTATTGCTAATCACTTCAAATATATCTGCCCATTCTTATTTTGAAGGAAGTGAACTCTTCCCTAATCTTGTGTTTTCTTGCCTAAGTAAGCATGGTTCATTTCTTATGAGATGCCTAAGCCTTCTACTGTTGACAGCACATCTGAGACTCATCTCAGAATAGAAATTATAATTTTCTTTGTTCCAGAAAGTCTATTCATGTTTTGTTAATTTATAAAATTGCCCTATGTGTTCCTTGATTTGCATTTGTCAGTACTGACAAGCATTAACAAGCATCTACAGATCCTTTTTTTACCTGGTGTACCCATGTACCCAAGAGATCCTGGCTCTTGTTGAAATTATGAGCTGAAAAGACATTAAGTACATACATTGTTCACAAAATGAGAGTGAAGGAAGACTCAGGGTAGTACCTTCGTTGAAAGTTCAACTATTTCTTGGTGATGGGTTGTTTTTCTGTTTGTTTGTGGAGTATTTTTGTTTTTTCTTTGCTTGCTTGCTGGCTTGTTTTTTAAGCCTATTATTTGGCAAATTTCTCATGTTGGCTGGCTAGTCACACACATTTAGTGGGGAACTAGCTACAGCACCATCCACCTCTTTTCCAGCCTGTGACGAGGGTATGCTGGATACCTGAAGGTACTCTGGGAGGAGCCATTGGAAAGCAAACGGATTTATTACAAGCAGGGATAATTCTCTTCCTGCAAGTTCTTTGCCTCATTTTGCATGCAGGCTGGAGGCATAAGCAGTTAGAATTAAGTTCGCCTGGCACCCAAATATATGGCTCTTTTCCATTTTAAGAGACTTATTTTGCAGTCTATGTAACTTTTTAATCTATTAATATTAATATTACAGTTTAAATTATCAATAGAATCTTGATGTATATGGTTTCATGTTAAGACAGAAAAATACTTTATCTGAAAAATTGGCAGGAAGATACATCATCACCATTTGAAGGACATTCTTTCAGGATGACTTAGCTTTTCCTTCTGCTATTATGAAGTTACAGTATAAGGTCTTTCTCCTTGGTCAGTCAAAATTATATTAATTTCCTTTCATTAGTCAGTTTATTTTGGAAAATTGGTATAAACAAACTTCATTAAAATTTACACAAATATCTTTACTGACAAAATGATGTAATAGTCTTGTTCTTTAAGAAAGCACATATACTTGTCTCTCACTCTTTAATGGGGACTTCCCTCTAAATTTCCTCTCTTCTGAAGATTATTCTGCTGTGAGATTCTACTTCTACTTAATTCTTCTATTAATTAACTATAATTAACTCTATCTAATTCCTCTACTCTTCAGAGATGAAGGATCAGCCGGAATGACTGAATAACTCATTTATTTTTCACAGAATTATATCCTATGGCAAGAGTATAACGGTCAGCATACTGACATTTGTAACGCCACTTGAAGTCAACAACACCTGTCACCTTTTTCAAGGTGACCGTGCTACTGATTTCTGTATTGCCCCTAAAAACTCAAATACTTGTTAGCAATAGAAGACATTTTAAAATTAATTTGAATAACTAGCACAGCTGACAGGTTGTAGCAAAGCCCTCATATATATTACTGAATTATGAGATCCACTACATCAGAATATTTTTTTAGGATTCAGGGGGAGAATTAAAAAAGTGGAATAAATGTATGGAAGAGTAAAGTTCTGTTTCAGTCTGATTTGCTCCGGTGCCCAATATATCTTTTTAATTTAATTGCTTTTTCAGGCTTAAATTATAAAAGATTCCTATCGGACTGGAAAGTGAATTGTTTCCCTTTGGCTTTATTGACCTTGGATAGACATTTTGCCTTGCTTAATAGGGGTTGCATTGGAATAAATCCATGCTTTTGTTCAGTTTCCATCTCAGAACTCTAAAGAAAAGGAGACAGCTGCATTCAATAAGCATAAAGTGTTAAGTCAAAAAACCCTTTAAAGATCAGAATATGTAATTATGACTTCATTATTTTGATTTGTATGTTAAAAGAAAAATATTTTTGTTCTTATGATATTGTATAAAAAATTTAGAACAAAAAAATTTAAATCTGTAGGAATATATAATTTCACAAAACATTCAGCATTTCCAGATTTCAGCCTGATCCGACACTTTTGACAGTTGCTATAAATAGAATTCATTTCTGTGTGTGATACTGCTTCCAAATTATTGTATTTGTATATTCAGAAACAATTTAACATTTAACTAAGTGATTATATATCCATATATTCTGTAGCATCACAAATGAAATGTATTATTTCTAGTGTCATAGGTATTTATTTCTAGTTATGGAGTCCACCAGTTTATCCCCAGTGGATAAACTTTTCAGTTTGTTCATAGGGCAATACCAAGCCAACACTTGCGTGTATCCCCCATCAGCGTTTCACAGCTCTGTTCTGAGGGAGTAATGGGGATAATGAGGTCTTGGTTCAGTGACAGGTGAGCTGGAATTTGAACTCATCAGCCTGGTCTCATATAGAAGCTGCGCAGATGGGAAACATTTATTGGGCTAGATCTGAACGGGTACAGGTAAACAGTTCTGTAATCAGTAGTAGTATATGAAAACATAAATGCTGTTCTAAGTGCTTAAAGCACTATGATTTTCAGCTTTTGGAAAATGCAAGCCCTTTCAGTTCCTCTGTCTTTGAATAAACTCCTCTATGGTAGAAGAGTAAGACTCGCTGCAACTGCTGACCACAGCTATAAATACTCCCTCTCCCTCCCAAGTGATGTTAAAGCTAAGGTTCCACAGCAGCTTAAACCAGTGTAACTGCAGGCTTTTGCAGTACCATCCCCACACCCTTCTGCAGCTCCAGCACTGATCAAAGCTTGTGCTGGGCTGATTTAGCCTGCTAAGTTGGCAGAAACATAACCCAATAATAAGGAAAAATTAGAATCATGATATCTAAGTCAATTTCAGTCACTTCTGGAGCCTAAGAGTCTGGATGAATGTTGTTGCTGGCAATACAAATACTGAGATATAATATGAGATATTAATTAAATGCAGATCACGTTCTGATCTTTTTAGACCTTAAGGTGCAGCTTCACTAAATGCTACTACTAAAGTCCTGTTCTTCTCCCCTCCCCATCCCAGAACATGTACTCCCACCATAAGCAGTTGCACAGATCGGCTTGCTAAGGAAGCTAAGCCAAGGGGAAAAAAAATTAAAAACGGTTCATTCAGCAAGCTAATCTCACTCACCGTGCCACTATGTGATCTCTTTATACATTATTCATTTTCCTGCACCTATTACAATGTCCTCATACGTCTTAAGAGGGGAGCCTATTGGCAGTGACATACAACCTGACACTACTAAACTGTTTGCTTACCTGTCTGAAACCAAGTGCGTGCAAGTGGCACCGTCTTGCACCAGTTGGGCGCTTCCTTGGGGAAGTTGTCCGTTACATGATTCTTGATTAAGAAGCAACAAGAACAAGAGATGCTTAGATCAACCAGGAATAACATTAGATGTAGTCGCACTTTTATATATTATTGATTCAGGTTCAGTGTTAGGGTCTCCTTACTTGTTAGGTCAGTCCTGTGTAATTGTGTGTTCATATAAAAAGTATACAACTTTTACTTACTTTATAATATGTTATTTTGCCTTGTATGGGGAATGTAGGCTCTGCAGCAGAGGTCGTTCTTCTGAGCTAAAACACCTGCTGAAAATAGAAGTCTATTTCCTTTCCTTGAAAACAACAATTAGTGGGGTCAAAAGGCATTTTGCCACTGGGTTATTTAATTATAAAATAGACAAACTTGTTGATGGGACAAATTAATTGTGAAATATGTGTTACTTTGATAAATAAATGGGAGAATATAAGTGCCAGACCCTTTTCAGAGATGCACAGTGACAGGACACATCTTAGAACATGTTAAAATCCAGTTGGATATTAGGAAAACATTTTTCACCGTGAGGCTAGTCAAAAATTGGAAGAGATTGGCCAACAAGGTTGTGGAGTCTTCACCCTTGGAGATATTAAAAAGCAGACTGGACATTTACTCAAGACCATGAGTAACCCTGTCTGAGTTGATCCTGGTTTGGATGTGGGATTGGACCAGGTGACCCTCAGTGGTCCCCTCCAGCTGACATATTGTTGACTTCTGATCTGTTGTCTGTTGAAGTGAGCTTGTGTAACCTTTCAGAGTCAACAAGGCTTTCTGGGCTTAGGAAATGAGACAATAATGAGGAATGATGGTTGGGAACACAGCCTCTTTTAACAATATTCAATAAAAGGGATTAGATTGAAATGTGTGATCTCGTGGCTGATGACAGCAGTATCTTTTCTTAAGCCAGTTTGTTTGCAATGTCGCCTGCATTTTTCAAGCAGATTTCTCTCTTTTCTCCTTCTTTTTGTTTGTTGGCATTTTCTTTTGGAGCACTGTTTCCTTCCTCTCATGCTGTCTCACTGCCCTTGTTCTGGATATGTGCAGTTCCAGACTGGCCCCCTGGCACTGGCTCCTTGTAGTGCTGCTCTCCTAAGCCTCCCCCTAAACCCTGGCTCCCCAGGTGCTAGTTCTAGCCATGGATGCCTTCAAAGATGCGTTACTAACTTGTCAGAATCTACTAATTTCTGTTCCATTCCAAAACTCCTTGGTAACATAAAGTCACAGTCATATAAATGAACTCTCACTTTATCACAGATCTTTATCCTTATTCCATGGCTCCTTAGCGGAAGTTAAATGCAATGTTTTGAACAACATTGATGTTTAAATTATTACTTAATAAAATGATCAGATTGAGAGACAGCAGCACTTAAAATCTTGTGAAGCTCTTTTTAAGCTGTATTCAGAGTCAGGCTATAATGTATCAAATCCTTTTGGTTCATGTTTGGAAGGATATTTTGAAATTGCGTTAGGAGACTTGATTTTTAAAAATGCACTGCAGTAGCTGTCCGTAAAGAGAAGTAAGAATTCAGTGATTTGGTATTTAGACTTAGCATAGTAGTTGCATGCTGACTTTGTGTAATTAAATGGTATATTTGTCTAATTTTATCATGATAAGAGCAAATTTTTAAGAGTGATATTTTTGCCATAAGTGGAAGCTTTATGCAGAGACCACTCTGTTTCTGGAATATAGCGCTCTCATCATTTTGTGTTTATTTTGTTCTTTTTAATTTCATTGCAAGCAGCTACAGGATTTTCAGCTTTATTGATATTGCTTATTCTCCTCCCCTTCTTTCAGAGAGCTGTGAGAAGAATTCCCTTAGTCGTTGGCAGAACCAAACTCCCACTTCTGAAGAAGAAGCAGCAGCTCTTAAGCTTCAAGCCATCTGGAGAGGGACCTATGTTAGGAAAGTACTGAACAGCAGAAAACCCGGTGTGTCCTTTAAAAATGCCTTTTAAAAAATGTTTCATGCTTCACCTTATTCAAATATTTACTGAGTAACAAAACGGGTAACAAAGATTTTGTTGCCAATTAATACCTAGTGAAAATGAACTGAAATGCAGTAGAACGTTATAGTTGAATCTCTGATCTCTTATAAAACTTAGAATAGTTCTCAACCTAACCACTCAATTAGCACATATGGTACTAAAGAGTAGAGGAAAGACATTCCACCTAGATTTTCATAGATATTAAACCACAATTTACATCAATGTAGATTTATCTCATAGCTCTGCTAAATGTTGGTTTGTTTTTGTTGGGTTTTGGTTTTTTTTTTTTTTTCTGGAAAGGTAAGGGAAGCCCATATGAGAATCTAAGCATAATGGATAATCAGCAGAACACAGCATCAAAAGCTGTTACTGTGCTCAGAAGATACTGTACTCATAAATGCCCTTCATTCTTATGTATATAAATAATATTACATAGCAGTTAGTCTTGTGTTACTTTTCTTATTCAGCAGTTCTATTATCTCAGCTGGAATATTGTGTCCAAGTGCACTGTCCACAGTCCAAGAAGAAAGATAGGTAACAACTGAGAAATTCTGGGTAGAGCTGTAAGGATCAGGATTAAAGAAGCAACCTACCCCTTCATGGTATCTGCAAATAAAAGCTGTTGGGAGCTAAACAGTGTATTCTCCAAGGACAGAGATCACCTCATGTCATTACAACATGTTACAATGAAAAACTGTAAAACAGAGAAAATACTGATCACATCATTTTTGCAGTTCTAGGAGTGCTGAAAAGTACAAAGGTGATGATGAAGGGAATTCCCTCTGTCAAAGGAGAAATTGGTTATCAGCTCAGTGAGACTTCTGTAAAATTCCAGATAAAAATTAGTGATTCTTAAGACAATTGTGCAGGTGGCATTTTTCACAAGTTTGGCAGGTGTACATTTAGAACAATACAAAAGTTAGATGTTACATTTTCTAACTTATTTCATTATTTCCAGGTGCTAAAGAAAACGCTGATGTCAAAGAAACCTTACAAAAATTGTGGTCTGCGATTGAGTTAAATTTTGAACAGTGTGCTGTAATGCTGTTAAGGTAATCATTTAATAAATTAAACTCTTTTATTGCAGGCAGTACCATAGAATTGCCATAAATTACTGGTTCACAAAGTAAATATGGTAAGAGCATTACTGGTTTTAAAATTAAAAAACTCTGTTGGAAGGGATGAGATGTTATCAGTGAAGATATGCTATGCTTTATTCTGTGTATGCTACATGAATAACACTAGAGCAAATCTAATTTCTAAGTATGTATGTTACAGGTTTTATTCCTACAGCTTGAGCTAGAGTATTGCCTTTCTCCTGTATTTAATTTTTTAATATCCTGGAGGCTGTTTCATAAGTATAAATATGATACTGATTCCTTAGTTAAACCGCTAGCCAGTTGATTTAAAGAAGCATTTTGATTCATGCTATCTGTTAAGGAATCCTGGTTGACATTAGAAAGGAGATAGCTGTACTGTTTATTTGTACCACAGTTTATCTCATCAGAGGATTTGTTTGTAGCACTTGCCTGAAGGAAAGTACATGTATTTCTAGGCAGATGCTTTCCCTGGTATTTAATTACAGCTTTTGAGTTCCTTAAGTCATTTGCAAGTATGACACTCTTCGGGGATCACATATTTTCATTCCTTCAAAATTCTTTCATTCCTTTCAAGTCCTTCAAAAATCTCTCTGCAAGCATTCACACAACCTATCTAGCAGCAGATCAGTTCTGCCAGGGGTAAGGAGTGAGAACTGACCATAATTTCTGGCTGTGGGTATAAATCCTCACTCCTTATAATCAGCAAATTGAGGAACACTTATGTGGGGTATAATTTTATTTCATTTTTTAGTGTTTCTAATCCTGTAAAACCTTTCTATGTTGATGGGATCAGGACAACCACAACCTTGTTCCAAATTAGCCCTCAGTTTTAGATTTGCAGTGTCTCTAAATCAGCAAAGATCAGATGCAGTTTTTAGTCTACTTTCAGATGTTTAAAACTTACAGGATTGATTCTTAGACATCGTCCCAGGCGATACATTTGGGTGTTAAAATCATGCTAATGTGATTTTGTTCAATTTTTTTTTAACAGCTGACAGACTTGCATTTAATATAGCAAGCTAGCACCTTGGCCAATAAAGTAACATGAAGGAATTTTGGAAGTTCAGTATCAGGGTAAAACTTTTCCCATTCTCTAACCCCAGATGTATGGGAGGCCAGAAGTAGTACCATTTTACAACACAAACACCAGTTTAAAGTGCCCTAAAACCTCTCAGTTTGTGCTGGGGTTGTGGTTGCCACCTGTTTCTCATTATACATCCCACAGAAGCTCATCTATGTTTGTCCCTACTATAATTTTCAATGAATTAAAAATTTGCACTTTCTGAGGGGCTTTTTCTGTCTATGTGTGTGCTGTTTATCAGTGCAAAGCTTCATGGATAAGATTTCAAACTGTTCTGCTTTAAATTACTTCTGGCAATATTTGCATCCACTCTGTGACTCACCTTAATTAAATGTCAAGGTTGGCTATTATCACTGCAAAAAACATGGATGTGGAGATTGTTTCTGTAATTCAGATTACTATGTAGGAATAACAGAACATCAGAGTAGCATTGTCCAAATTTGGTGGATAAAACTTTTGCAGTTGAACAACCTGAACACATTCACGTTTGACACAGACAAGACGACAGCTATCACTGAAAATGGAAGTTGTGAGGTTTCTTTAGACTATCCCCTTTACGTAAACCACGTAAACCGAACTTTGAATTAGTGCAATGAAAAGATAGCAAAAAAGATATATTGTTTGCTTGCTGCAGAAAGCAAGTAGTTAAAGAATAATGCAAGACAGAGGGAGCGGCAGGCAGAAGGATATCCTTCCCTTCACCTCTAGGCAGCCATATTTTCACTCATAATCTGCAGAGAAAATCACTGGAAGGACCCAAAAGATGGAGTGAGACCAGTTATCTTTCTTCTGCCCTTCACCTAACAACCTGTTCATATAACAGTGAATTTTGTATGCTGGTCTTCACCTTGCTTTGTCCAGAGGAACATTAATTTTTGATACTGCATATGATAAATAAAAATTCATGGTGTCACTTTGGTGCCAGTGATGTTAGCTCCGATTTTGCAGAACCTCATAACACCTGTGAGATTATTTGCCTTACAAATAACTTCTGAATTTACAGCCTTAGGCTCCTTCCTGTGTGACAGGAATGTCTTTCATCTCATTTTAAATTTATTTGGTTTTGCTTTTATTCCTTTCTTGTTCAAAAATGTTTTAAAAGGAAATAAAGGGTTTTTTAATCTCCTAATGATGCCACAGCCTTAAGATTACATCTTAATATACAGAAATGGAAGTTATACTAACTGATATTAAAAAAAAAAAAGAAAAAGTTAAGTTTTGTAGAAGCCGTAACATTTTGGGCTATTAGAAGCAATTGTACTCATGGATAGACTGATTGATAGAAATGTTTTTATATAAGTATTGGTCATTATGGGCCATTAGCTCTAGAAGAGGTGATCCCTACCTGATTTATTAAGAATGAACAGCTACTAGAAAAACATTAGTAACACGTTTAATATCACTGTTTTACATTCATGCACCAAGCAGTGTTCTTCATGATTAGCATAAAGTCAAGATACATGTGCTCTCCTGATTCGATTTAAATTTTGTTTTCTGCTTTCCAGAGAAATGTTTAAAAGAAACTGTAAATCGATTGAAAAGTTTCCTTGTTATGAGGATGAATGGTGTAAGATCTCTTTTGCTGACTATGCTGTAACGTATGCTGATCAGCCACCAAATGTGTGGTTTGTGGTTTTCAGGTGAGTTTCATACAGCCCTATATAACTCTTATGGGGAAGTAGTATTGATACGCTGTGGTTTTTCACTAACCTGCTTTAAAAACGTAATTTTACATAAGCCTACTTTCCTTAAATTCTAATGTATACTTCTACTTCATGTTACACAAATAATCTTATTTGTGAAAATAATTTTAACATAATTGTATTTTTTATTTTATTTTAGAGAAATATTTCTTGTTCCAGAAGACATGCTTGTAGTGCCAAAGGTGTATACCACTATCCCTTCCTGTAGACTTCACGTGGTTGATAATGACACACTGGAGGAAATGCCACATGTCTTTTTCAAAGTGGCACCTCATGTTTATCCCAAAAATAAGGTAAACGCAGAGAGTCATTGTGAAAAGTATAATTTTAAAAATAATAACAATTGCCCAAATTCTGTGGACATTTTCAGCTATGTCATAATGTTCTACTTAGAAGTGCACCCTTATGTATTTGCAAGTCTGGACAGACTATCACTGATCTGCTTCTGTGCTAAACCTTTGACAGTGAAGGAATAGCCTTAATTTTCTTGGATATTTTTTACTATCACTAAATGGAGGAATGTCATCCCACTTTCCTGTGTTGTGCTTCTCAGTGGCAATATGGTTGCTGCTGCTGCTGTCCATCTGACAGCACAACTTCAGGAGTCAGGGGCCAAACTAAGAACGAAGTTTGAATAGCCTTTTTTTAAGTCACGCTTACAATAAGTAAATTAACATGCACCTTCAGGTGCTAATGATAATTGCAGCATTGATGCCAAATACAGCTTTAGATATGCTTCCTCTCAAAGCCTGTATGTTACTTCAGAAGCATGAGTGTTAATTGCTTCTAAAAAACCAACTGTATTGTTAAATAATTATCACAGCTTCCCCTCCTCCTGCCTTTTTACCTTCAGGCTAAAGACAACAGTTTGCTCAGTCTTTCCTTGCAAGTTACATGTTCTACATCCTTGATTGCTCTCTCCTCTCGACTCTTGCCAATTGCTGTTGGTTTTTTCTTGTTTATCATGCACAACGCTGAGCACAGTAAACTTTGCACCAAGGATTACCATGTGGCCATACAAATGATGAGTAAGGAACAATTAGTTTACATGTCTTGTGGGCTTTACTTCTGGTTATATATCTAACTGATGCTTGCCCTCTTTTGCAACACCGTTAACTTATGTAGTTCTGTAACCCTAGGTGCTTTCCTGAAGAACTAAATCCTGTAGATTATTATTGTTGACTAAATATAGTGTATTTCACTACTGATTACAATGTTATTTTTTCAGACAACTTCCCTAGTTTAAAATAATCTTGAATTCTTATTTTCTCTTCCTCTAAAATTACAATCCTTCTAGTTTGTGGTATAGGCTAATTAAACATATATGTTCTCCATTCCACCATCCACATTACTAACAAAAATACTGAATGGAATCAGGTTCAGGTTAGATGTTTGAAATCTCACTGATTGTATCCTGCTCTTCCAAAAGGAGCCATGAGTATATGCTTTCTGGATGCGGTTGTCCTAGTTTTTTCATTATAACAGCATTTCTTTAGGCTTAGAAGAATGATCAGAGAGACAGTGTCAGGTGTCTCCTTCATTCCCATAGAAGACGTGGTGTCAGGTGTCTCCTTGTTCTGGTTTCAGCTGGGACAGAGTTAATTTTCTTCCTAGTAGCTGGCACAGTGCTGTGTTTTGGGTTTAGGATGAGAAGAATGTTGATACCACACTGATGGTTTAGTTGTTGCAGAGCAGGGCTCACACCAGGCAAGGGCTTTTCAGCTGCCCCTGCTCTGCCAGGTGCACAAGAAGCTGGGAGGGGGCACAGCTGGGACAGCTGACCCAGGGGTATCCCACACCGTATGATGTCATGCTCAGTATATGAACTGGGGGGGCAGTGGGCCAGGGAGCAGCAATTGTTGTTTGGGGCTGGGCTGGGCATCGGTCAGCAGGTGGTGAGCAATTGCATTGTGCATCACTTTTTTTATTATTATCATCATCATAATTATCATCATTATTATTCTTACTATTTTCCTCTGCTGTTTTATTAAACTGTCTTTATCTGAACCCATGGGTTTTACTCTTTTTTCTGATTGTCTCCCCCATCACACCAGGGAGGGGAGGGAGGGAGTGAGCGGTTGCGTGGTGCTTAGTTGCCAGCTGGGGTTAAACCACGACACCCCTTCATTCCCATAGTGTGCTTTCCTCTAAAAGGAAGCTTGATTGGTTTGATAGGACTTGGTTTTTGCAGTCTTTTTGCTATGTTATGGGGGTTGCAAGGAGTTAATTTTATTAGTTATTTCATTATGTTTTCAGACATTGGAGTTATGCTGACTGACAGTTTTCTAGACACCTTTGTCCATCTAAGAAAAAACACTGCAGTTCTATAGTCGTCCAGTACCTTACCTGTCCTCCATCAGTTATCAAAAATAATTTAAAAGTTTTGTGATTTTTTTCACCTGTTATTTAACTTTCAGACAGTTCAGAAGTTCATCAGACCTAACTAATCCAAAACCATAGTTTATCTATATAATCATTTACTACTTCTTTTCCTATTCTGGCCTGCTTCTTACCTCTTTAATGTTACCTTTAGTATTAACTATTCTAGCCACACATTCACAGTTGACCTTTCAGTGAAGACAGGTTTACATTTTAGCCTTCTCCATCTCATTTGTCAATAACAGGGAATTGGTGTTGGTTACAGTCTAACACTGGGAGTAGCCTTCTTGTCTTTCTTTTGTAACTTCACTTCCAATTTCGTCATACTTTTTTTTTTTCACTAGAATGGACTTGCCTTAGCTAGTGTTTATAGTGAATATCAGCTGAATGTGGCCGACAAGGACTGCTACTGCTGGAGGAATATGCTTAAAAAAGAAGGGTTGCAGACAAGCTCTTCAAGCTCTCCAAACTAATGTGGGATCCTCAGGGATCGGATCTGGATTCCACCAGACAGGAAAATTCAGTTTGGAATCTGACAGTGGCAAGTGGCAGCATGAGAAAAGAGATCTCAGTGGTGAACACTACTTACTGCTTTTCAGAAAAGTGACAGGTTATGGAGAGAACAATTGAAACTTCAGATTTATTTCAGATCTCAGCTCAGCATTTGTCCTGCTTAGCAGGATACAACTGTCTAGTTCTGTCTTGTAAGGCAGGTTTTCCATTTGCTTGATTTTAGTAGTTCTTTCTCAGGCCTCCTCCCATTTAACATCTCTTTCTTGAATAAAGATGTCCAAAACTGTACGCAATATTCCAAATAAGATCTTACCCAAACTTTGTGCAATTCAGTGGTTTTAATATTGGAAATGCTTGTTTTGCTGTGCTCTACCTCAGCTGGTAGATTCCTTAATAATTCTTTTTTTCATGGGTACAGCACGATAACCTCAGTGGTTATGTCATCAACTGATTAAAATGGCCCTTTTTGTTTTATTCCTGTCCTTTCTTATTGAAGAAGTCCCCACTTAAAGCAGACATTTTTGTTATTATTCTCTAAAATTATGACTTACATTTTATAATGTGGTTAATACCAGTAAAGGGTGATTTTGGTTTAAGAGTATTATGCAGGTATGCTGTATTTTTCTACTTGTTCTTATTACATGTTTTGTAAATGGTTCATTAATATTTCAGTGGACCTGCAACAGCTATTGAAAGCTCTATTGATATTTTGACAAGACGTGATTATTATGAAACACAAAATACAGTGGTATTATTTTAATCTGACTGTTACCTTTCTTTTTAATAGTATTTTGTAAAAAATAGTCAATACACTAGCAAGAAATTATACAGTGTGCCTGAATTTCTAAATGTCAATATTATTACAGAAAAAAAGTCCTTTTTTTTTTTTTTTTTAAATAAAGCTAACAGTTAGTTATTCTGCTTCAAAACTATGAATCAGCAATTTACAATAGAGCTAAAAAGAAATCCTATGAACAGATATTGTTATTCTGCTGCAGAGGTACTCCTGGAACACATTAAAGTTCATTTCAGAATGATTGACAGTAAGGATAAAATCTGCACACTAGCAATAATGTCTCATCTTTCTGCAGACATTACAATCTAGATAGAAACTAGTGACTTGCTTTGCATTATTTGGATTTTTATTACATTAAATTTTCTTTTTCCATGGTAAGTTTTTCTACTGCTGGATGCAGTTGGTTTGGTTTGGTTTTGTTTTTTAATGCTACTGTCTTTAATATTCATCAATCTTGTGAACAGATTGTAGAAAATGATGGAGATAAGCATTCCTCAAACTTCAGCTGACCAACGAAGATAAAAAGTTAAGAAATCATCACTAACAACATACTTAGCCTAGAAAACAGAAATCTATTTGAGCAAGGACACTGATCAGTTATTTGTAGTGACTAGTCTTAGGATGTAAGGAAATCATCTTACTTTACCAAAAAGTTAGTTTGGGTGGTATATTGGAAAACAACCCTTTCTGATTCTAGAGTTAGTGAATTGTAACAAGATAAATAAACAAAATAAAATTCTCAAAGGTTTTTAAGAAAGAGATGTAAATCTGATGGCATTGTCTAGATCTATTTGCTTATTTCTCAGTAGTAACTGATGATTACTCTGTCTTCCTACCAGCCACAAAATTCAGTTGCTGTGCTTTCTAATTGCTTCTAGTATTCAGAAAGTGCCCACTCAAACAATTTTTTAATCTTGAGTCTAAATTTTCTGCATATTTATAGCAAAGATTAAGATGGTAGAACCTTATCTTTATAAATAGGTATAGAACAGAAAGTGTTTTTCTTATGCACCCCACGCTGTCAGAAAGCCCTTGAATAGCTGGCTAAAGCCCTCCCAGTTTCCAAGTGCACTTGTTAAGAATGGTGGGACTTTAACAATATGCTTAAACAGATACTTAAATAAGTGAGTTTTCCTGAATCATAGCTTTGAATGCTTGCTATTACCTTATAGTGATTAAAGGGTGTAAAGTGCCTCAGTTACAATTGCACAAATTGGAATCATGAATAATTTCTTTTACTTTCATTCTAAGTACTCAGTAGTCCTGAAGGCACAACCCTGCATTATTGGATAGTCCTGAAATCACGACCCTATTTATTATAAGAATTTTTCAACAAAGCTTTTTTACTGGTAAATACTGATTTCTTTTAACTGAAACTTAGCAGAAGACTTCCAAGAGAGAAAACATTTCAAAGAACTTTCATCTGGACTATTTCTTGGGTGGAACATGAAGTTTTAATGTTTGAAATAGCAAGTTTGTAAGGCTAGTTTGGAGAATTTGAAGAAGGGACTTAATCCTGAGTTCCCCTGTTATATTGCAATTGGCCATTGCACTCATTATATCCCTTTTTCCTGTCCCTGCCTTTTAAGTAATCCTGTTCATATTGCCTTCTTTTTTTCAAATACAAAATAAAACCAAATTTTGAGATCCTTTAAATTATATTCTGGTTTCCGGTATTCCTCTTCTCAGTATTCATAAAGAGCAGATAAATCTGCATCAGGCTTATTAGTTGTGTGTTGCATTTTTTATTAATTTTTTATTTGTTTTTTCTAATACTAGAAACATTTTTTCTTAAATCAACATCTTCATAAAAATAAGATTAATAGCCTGACATTTAATGCTATACTTGCAATGACATTATTAAAAGTAGGGGCGATATTAATTTAACCTCAGATTTGAAGACAGAATAAATCTGATCTCTGAATTTCCATGCAGTAAATTGCATTCACCCGTACTTTCACACTGTGTACAGCATGAAGGGACATTTTTAAATCTCTGGTTTATCGGTGAATGCAGTTATTTTCGCATTTACATTTTATCTTTATCTAATTTTGCTTTCATATGTGTGAGGACTGCTAGCTTCTGCTAAATGTCTTGTGCTTGAATTGCCAAAATATTAGTTTCCTTATCTTCCTCTGTGGTCACCTTTGGAGTTAAAGGTATCTATAATCTCAGAATTGTTGCACAGTTTTCAAATACATCAACGCTTTACAACATGTATCTTTCTTACATCTGGCATACAGGCCAGATGTTTCCCAGCAACAGTGGAGTATAGGTTTAATGTGGTTGTCTCAGAGCTTGGAGTGCAGGTTCTTGGCTTATGAAGTCTCTATCTCCTTCTTCATTGTATCTATTCCTATCACCACCACCACCACATATAGTTTTGGTAAGATATCAAGAGAGAAAAAATATTTTGCGCCAAATGAAAAGACTTTGATTGATACTATTGGTTTTACAAGAAAAAGAATGGTAATATTACAGAACCTGAAGTTCTATAATAGATATGTTTTAACTGGGGGATATTTGTGTAGTAGTATGATGTACAAAGCAAGAAAATACATTGAATAAATATATTTTACTGAACCTTAGTCGTATTCTAAGAAGGCTTTTAGAATAGAGTACTGCATATACTTAAATAAAAGAGTAAGAACTCACTGATATTTGCTAAATTAGACTTTATTAAACAACCTAGAATCATCAAATAATTTAGTTAGAAAGTGACCTGAGGAGTTTGGTTGTACCTGCCCCTAAAAGTAAGACCAGCTTTGAAGTTACATGAGACTGGATTTGACTTGCTATGTAACTTTTTCCCAAATATAAATTCCTGTAATAAGAGATGCTTCAGAAGTTAGACTATGATAGAACTGTAAGATTCTTGCTGATGAAGAACATCATACTACATTAATAAGTGTAACATGGACAAAAAGTGTGTTGTATGTAGTCATAGAGTACATTTTGAGTAGTATTGTTTCCAAGTAAAAATGACTTTTCTCCTTTCAGAAAGGATACACATTCATGGCTGAAGCATGTACTGGTGACCTTCCTGTGGCAGCTGGAAGATGGAGGCTCCGGCTCATCGGTTCTCATAATCCACTCCCATTCCTCTCTCGTGAGGCCGTAAATAACGTCTATTCTACTAAAGAAATTAAGGACTATTACATACCCAATGACAGACATGTAATGTTCAGGTAAATATTGAGAGAATGATTAAATTCTTCTTTTTATATGGACTATCCCTGGCAGAAAAGTGTGTTCTTTCCTCTTTCTTAGAAGGGGAAAGTATTAAAGCAAATATCTGAATTTTATGGACTGTTAATGTTCAATAGCAAATTTAACATTTCATTTATGAAAGCGTTATTTTCTGAAATATTGCGACTGATTAATGAAGAACAGGTATGAAGTACACAGACTGTAACTTTAAAATCCTACTAACAGTATTTTGCATTTCTGTAGGATCAATTTTGAAATCCTATCCATAAGTCACTTACTGAAATTCCATAGTACTTTTGGGGATATAATTTTTATTAATACTTTTTTAATTTATTAAAGTTTATTAAAATCAGTTTATTCTAGCTGAGTTTGAGTTCAAAACTGACCCTGTCTAAATTATTATGCTTAAGTTTTTACACAAAGGACTACACACTGCACTAAAAGAGGCCCCATGCTTAGAGCTGATTACACGTATATATTTTGAAGATTAATTCTACCACGTTTTGCCTTGATTCCTGACAATTTGTATCAATGTTTCAAATCAATGTATTTTTCTTGAAATAGAGGTCTATTGAACAAGAGAAGTCAGATTCAACATAAATGAAGAAAACATGTGATGGAAATATAACAACTGAATTCAAATTATGTAAATTCTTTCTTCCTTAATGATTTTTTTTTTCTTTTTTCCCATCTGATGTCAACATCTTTAAAAAATTGAATTTTAAAATACTGGTGTATTTTTTTTCTCCAAATGTGCTGAATTCAGGGTGATGGTGGTAGTGTTTGCTTGCATGCTGAAATTAGTCTAACAATTCAAATTTATGGACAAAAAGCAAGTAATATATAAAGTTATGAGTCACAACAAAAAAATTATGTAAATTTCATGCTAATACTCTAATTCTACAATCTTTTAATTCCACACTCTTTTAGTGGGCCAGAATAGCAGCTTCTGTCAAATAGCTCTACCCTACTGAAAGCAAATATTTCTTTTTTTTACTTTAGCTCAGTTACTTTTTGATCTAAACCTTTCCCTTATCTGGCTAACCAAGTTTTTCAACAAATACTAGTACTAGCGGGGAGAAAATGTATATCTGGAAATTTGCTAAGGCAGTGAAAAAAAAGAAATGGCAAGACCACCACTTTTTTTGCCGCAGCACTTACTTTGATCATGGATTGACTGCACTAAATTTCACTACAGGCAGCTTAGCCCATCAGAAAAGAAACAATTCAGGAAAATCAGAAAAGCCCATTCAGGAAAACAATTGACTACAAACTCAATTTTAAGTGTTCGCTTCCAGGTCAGCACAATGTTTAGGTACTTGTGGAAAAAGAATGATCTGGTATAGTTGTTTATATTGCTATAATTTTTTTCTTCCTCTTTAGGTATTCAGTAAAAGTCACAGCATCACATATTGCTACAGTGCAGGTACAAACCTCTAAATCAGATGTGTTCATTAAACTGCAAGTTCTAGATAATGAGGAAGAAATTGTGAATGTCACTGGGAAGGGCCATGCAGTCATCCCTGCTTTTAATTTCTTGAGTAATGAAACACTTCTGAGTTCCCCCTGTAAGTATTGCATTCTATACTTGATAATTTTATTCACTGAGAGATATGCAGTAACTTTAGGTAATCACAGAAAATATTATTTCTTTCCTACTTATTCCATGATTTCCATAATTGCCTTACAATTAAGTGAAATCAGCTACATTTTCGAGCAAAGAACAGGAGTCCTTGGTCCTCAACAATGAGGAAAGGTGCCAAAGCGATTGACTGAAATAAGGTGTCCAGCTTTATTTTCTTCCTCTGCCATTTAGTCTTGTTTTGTAACTGTATCGGGTCTGGCTGAGGTGGAGTTAATTTTCCCCATAGCAGCCCTCATAGTGCTGTGCTTTGTATTGGTAGCTAGAAAGGTGTTGAAAACACACTAGTGCTTTAGCTACAGCTGACCAGTGCTTGCACAGCATCAAGGCAGTCTCTCCAACATCCACCTCCCCCTCACCCAGTAGGCTGAGGGTGGGCAAGGTCTTGGGAGGGGGCACAGCCAGGACAGCTGACCCAAACTGACCAAAGGGCTGCTCTAGACCATATGATATCTGCTCAGTGATAAAAGCTTAAGAGGAAGGAAGAGGGAGGGGGACACTCGTTATTGTAACATTTGTCTTCTGAAGCAACTGTTACATGTACTGAAGCCCTACTTCCCAGGACATAGCTGGACATTGCCCGCTGGTGGGAAGTAGAGGATAAATCTTTTGTTTTCCTTTGCTTCCGCGCAGGGCCTTTGCTTTTGCTTTATTAAACTGCCTTTATGCCTTGACCCTTTTTTTTCCACCTTATTTTCTCCTCCCCTCCATGCCTTGCTGATGAGGAGGGGAGTGATAGAGTGGCTTGGTGGGCATCTGGCATCCAGCCAAGGTCAACCCACCACAGTAACTGAGTAGAGTTTTGTGGATAATTGAAGTAGCTTCTCAGTTCTGAAAATTTTATGCATCTGCTTGTCCTTGAGAATTGAAATATGTTTTATTTTCAAGATCTTGCCTTTATTTTTTTTTTATTTTAAAGTTATAAAAAATTTGGCTGTTAGAAAACTGATGCCCAGACTGTGGGACATGGTGGATAATTCAAAGATTAGACTGAGCATTATGGTTTAAGTGCACCATCCTGAGGATCACTCCTTTTAGCAGAAATAGACATTTTATTGACTTCTCATCCATCATATGAGCCCTCGAGTACAAGGCAAAAGACTCTTGATTAAATTATATACAATTTATCCTTAAGAAAAACTCTCCATTTTTGATTCTACCTCTGCTACAGCTTCACAATGACACTCTTGAAAACAGAAGACACTGAAGGAAGAGCTACTTGCCCCAGACTTGCAAAGCTCATAAACGCCCATTATGCTATTGTCAGTTCTTTATGATAGCAACTGAAATACTGAGGAAAAGGTTATCCCTTATGGGAATACTTGAATTTAAACAAAATTTCTTTTAAGAGAAATTTATTTGAAAGTTACAGCAAACACCTCATTTATTTTTGGCTGAACAGTTGAATCTGAGAAGCTTATTTGCTCAAAATTAATTTTCTTTTTTTTTAAAAAAAAATGTTATTGCCATGCATTACGTTGCAGTCTTGTCAGCTCAGCTCTTTTTAAAGGTGAGAACCAGTGTGTGTTCAAAGGTCACCTTTCATAAGTATGCTAAAATTAATGTATTTTCTCAAAGTACTTTGAAACTAGCGATTGTACCAAACAAAATTGCAGCTGCCATCAGTTAAAACTGACTCGCTGTAGTCCAGCAAACCACCGTTCTGAATCTACTGTATGCCCAAGCCTGGCAGCATATAAATAAAGGGGCAGGGAGGTAAAGAAAATTAAGCCAAACTCTTTTCAGTGGCATCCAGTGAAATAGAAGAGACAATGGGCACAAACCGAACTGTAGAAATTACAATTAGCATTAGAAAAGGTGATTTGGAGGGTGGGGTTGGTTTTCGTTTTGCTTTGTTTCATTTTTACTCTCAGGTTGTCAAACATTGGAACAGGTTGCTCGGAGAGGTTTTGGAGTTTTCCTCCTTGGAGATAAACAAAACCCAACTGGACATGGCCGTGAGCAACCTGCCCTAGCTGAGCCTGCTTGTAGCAATGGGGTTGAGCTAAATGGTCTCCAGAGGTTGTCTTCCAGCCTCTGTCAGAAGCACTCAGCCTCCTGTGATCCTGTGGTATCATTTAATAGTTAAGGCTTAAGCTTTTTTTTTTTTCCCCTTAATGATACACAAATAATCCAGTTTCCTTGGATGTGCTGTCCAACTAAACAGGTATTCATTTACAACCGGACTTAATATGAGAGAGCCTTCAGCTTGAGGCTGTGGCAGTGCTCTGCCATCGTCCCCTTCTGACGTAGTGAGATAACTTCCTACACACCCTGGAGGGCAGAGTTAGGTTGTCCAGACACCCTCTTTCATGCTTTACTTCCAGGCTTTCAGAAGTTAGAGTTCCATCAAACTCTGTATTCCAGAGCTACAGTCACACAACATCAGCTGGTTGTTACTGGCATTTTTACTGTTTGATAATGTCAGGGCTAGGCTACTAAAGAAGCTAAAACAAAACTGGAGTGAAAATTCTGTCATCTGAAAGTACACTCAGGCAGTTGATTGACATTTGATTTTGAAGTGGTGTTGAATTTTGCTGTTCAGAAGCAGTAAATACAGTTTAATGAGGTACATAATTCTTACGCATATTTTCAACAATTGTCCCTGTAGTGCTCAGGCAATTTTTAACAAAAATGAAGTACCTTCTACCTGCTTCCGCTGCATTTCTTATATCTAATAGATTTTAGATGCTGCTGCCGTGCCGTCTTAAATTCTTTCCAAATCTTAATTTGTTTCCCTGTTTTCTATACACTCACTTCATAATCATGCTATTTCCATTTTATTTGTAAGTCTGTATACTATCTTGAATTTTTCACTATATCTACAGGTTTCATTTTGAAAATGTATATTCTTCATAAGCATTACAAATTTGCTTAAATAAAGCAGCCATTGATAAGCAAGCAAGCCAGCTACTGTACTCTCCATGGACACCACTATGCATCAATGTTGTAAGATATTAAAGTCTTCAGTCCTTTTATGAAGACTTTGAAACAATAAATCTTCTGTAAATCAATCGGTTTCTGCCTGGTTGAGCATATTCAGAACCTCAGGCAAAGACAAATTGTTCAAATACTAGATTATTGCTTTGTTAAAGCCCAAAATAGCATCATATTTCATGTGCTCACCTCCACTATTTTGAACTGCGTAGTTTTCTAACACAATCCTTTAGAAAAATGTTTTATCTAAATTTCCAATGCTGTGTGGGAAAAATAACTAATTTAATCATGTTTATGAAACATTTTGATTTCTGTCTCAACCGCACCTTGTTATTACCAGAAATAGAAAATTAAATACTATGGAGACCATGCTCTTAAAGTGTAATTCAGTTGACAATGTTGTGGGTTTAAAGGAAGTCATGGAGAAGCTGTCATGATTCTGTGACTGAGTTGCTAAGATAATCAGTAGCTATTTTTGGTTACTTTTTTTGGAATGTGGGAATGGATTAGTAAACTTAATAGTAGACTGTTGGAAATAGAAGCAGGAAAGCTATAAGATAGCTCAGATTAGGGTAAGCATCACAAATACTTGAAATAAATTGCCAAGTTACCCTCAGTAAAGTGAAGAAGAAACTTTCTTTGAGAAAACAAGCTTGTTGGCAAAGATCATAGTCTGAAGACTGAAATAAGTTAAAAGGCACAATCTGGTGAAAGAGAAGAGAAGTGGGTTCCAACAGATGCTGGAATGGAGAGGATGGGGCAGAATAACTAAGAGGGACATTTTGTCTTTGCCAGACTAGCAGGGGATATAGGTGAGACAAATTTTCCAAACTATCCACAGAAATCAGACACACTCATTAGGCTTTTATCTCTTATTCTTATGTCCTGTGATACAAATAGTTTCTGCTAATTTAAAATTATTTCATCCCTTGTGAATCATTCAATGAAATATCTGTTATATTAACCTGATTGAAAGTAGGGAGGTTGTCATATCCAGTTCCTATTCAGCAGTGGAGCCAGTCAACTGGAAAAAGTGGTGATGAAAGGTACTTTATTTCGAAGGGAATTTAAAAAGAGTTTCTAGACCTGGCAAACTGTAAAAAAGATGTTATGATTTTAGACCATAATTGAAGGTGAAATTAATATTCTGATGCCATTTAAGTGTGTGTGTGTATAGAGAGCTGTCATTTGAAAGGAATGACTGTGAAGCAGTCACTGTTTTGGTTTTTTTTAGTATTACTATTATTTTTACAATACTAGACCAAGTGGCCTTAATGTTGAAGTCCTTTTCCTAGCTATATGCAGCCTGTATGTCACAAAGATGACATTTTGTATAAGTGTTCCAGATCTTTCAGAGCATCCAAACTAAATTAAAAGATTATGAAATATACTCAGTCTAACCCATGCAGCAATATCATGTTAGCCAACCTGCTGAGTGTCTGTAGGTGCAATTTATGGTATTGTAAAAGCATGTTTCTTCACTATTGTCAAAAGTTTTGGGAAATTATGGCCTATTCAATAACAATATAGGAACCTCCATAAATACTGATGCCAAGTTCAGGTGAGGATCTATACAATCAACATTCAATGCAAGATTCATACTGTCAGTATCTAGTTGTTCTTTAAAAAGGTGTGTTTTCACAGAATAGGAATAATCAGAAACCACTGCTATACCATCAGCACCAAACTTGTTAGTTAAGCAAGACACAGTCCTCATATTTGAGACCTATTCAGTATCACACACGTTCTGCCTCTTATAGAATTTATTGCTGTGTTGACAGAAGTATTAAGTGAAATTATTGCACAAGCATCACCAGTAAAATACTATCCCCTTTCCCACCCACTATCTGTTAATTCATCTCCAGTCATAGCTGTTTTATAAATGTCTTTTATAGCTCAGAAACTGCATTTAATCAGTTGATTTTGAATATATTTACCTCTTCTGAGATGTAGCAGATGACTTGGAGCTTGAACACTCACTTGCCAATAAAGGAGTTACATACTGACTTGTTGGAAGCACGACTTGTTTTGTAGATACAAGCACAGCAGTCCTGTAGCACACATGGGGAAGTGAGTGTTCCCAATCCTTTTATTTTCCATAGTAGCAGTCTGATACAATCCAGTCTCAAAGTATCAAAATCTCATTCAGATATTTGTTTGAATCTGGAACCAAGGTAGGTACAAGTTCCTTCTAGGCAGAGCTTTGCTTAGGAAAACCAAGACTGAATATTTATGGACGTAGTAAGAAAAGAAATTTGGTGTCAGAGCACCACCTGGCGACCACAGCTAGAACTATATATATTGGCTGTGTATGAATTTTTGGGAACTTCTCCAAGTCATCTTTCCAGCAAGGGCAGAATGAGCCTTAAAGAGGATTCCACCATTCTGAGCTGAGTTATCTTCATGGCAGGGTCCTCCTCTGGGCAAACCATTGTAGACTTTTTCAATACTTATGCCTTTAAGTTTTAGGAGAGAGAGAAGAGGAGGATAGTGAGGCATTCATGAAAGCTCATTATCGCCTAAAGAATACAACCTCCCTTGAAACCTATCTACCTTGATAGGCAGAGGTAGGCTCCTTCAGAGGGAACTGCACAGCTCCTAAAGCCCAGAAATCAGATCTCCTGGAGAGGAGCTCACCTCTCTGTTGACTACAAGAAGGAGTCTGTTGACTACATTTAGTTGGCCTCACTGCTTTAAAGCTATCTTTTTGCAAATTATTTGCACTGCCCCTGATAACAGTGCTCAGACAGGTATTGGAGATCCTTCCTGACTAGAAACTTTGATGCAAATATTGGAAATGGTACCGGTACTAAAGGCAAGTTACTCAACTGGAAAATATCTGTATGTAGAGTTATTCTTCCATTTGGAATCCAAATTGGTTTTTTTTCTGGCAGGGTTTCACATGGATGCAAAAGAACATGGAAGATTCTGGTCTCTGGATACCATTTCTTCTTCATCCAAATGTACTTCTGTTGAGTGAAAGCCTCATGATTTTGGTTCCTTCTGATTAAAGACTTGATAATCTAACCACTATGAGTTCTGTCTCCTCTCACCTTCACAGAATGGGAAGCTGATACCTGGAAAGCTCAGCAGGCTCTATTTGAGTGAGAAACTATTCCACAGATACAGGCTTGCTTAGCCATACCTTTTACCAAACAACACCCACAGAGTTGCATCACTCTAAAAAATGGGTTAGAAGAAACTAAGTACTGTCTTCCTTCAAGTCTCTCACAGGCCTTCTTACCATGGGGACAGCAACAGGGATAGCTCAGGTGCTAAAGATTCTGAATGTCATGTAGAAGAGCAACTCATAGCTTGTGATGAGGAGGTTGAGACATCTTGAAGAAAGCATCTCTGCAAGGTCTTAGTTTCATTTCCTGACTTGTAGTGATTTTCTTAGAAGAAAGGAAGCACTGCCTTATGCAGAGGAAAGATGTGAAAACAAGTGTTCTGTGGCATTTGACTTCCATAAGAAATGATATTTCCTGGCTCCCTTTGAGTTTCTAGTGTCACACTTAACCTTTTATTTGGCATTTACACACCGATGTACCACCTGTAAAATTGCTGCATCTGGTCTAATAGTCCTGTCCATTCCTGTGAACTTCTTTGGATGCTTTCTCAATACACGTGAAACTCTGTACAATTTTATTTTGAAGCATTGCAGTCATACAGTATCATCATTTGCTTCTACAGTAAACCTTGAGAAGAGTAAAGCCTTCTATCCTCAGTGAAGTCAAAAAGATGCCTCTCTCCTGGCTGATGGTCCAGATATTGTTAGTGTAACACACGTGAAGCTGCTTCCCCAGAGGTGGTGTTAATCAATTTTCTATGAGATGCTCCCATTTAGAATTCTCTTTCCTTTCCCTGTGGACATTCACGAAAGATAATATCATAGGTATCAGTGGCATTAGAAATGAACACAAGTTTATGTTTCTGGATTAATGCTTCTGTTACAGCCTTTCTTTAGCATGTTCCTGGTTTCACAGTTTTTCCACATTAAGTCCTTCCTTAGGAGACAATGATATACCTTTATAAACGATAGACACCAAATAATTCTGTAGCTCTTTCAGGACTGGCTTTTTTAAAATTTTAGTTAGATATGATCTTTGTGTCAGGTTGACATAAGAGACTTCTGTAAGGGTAGAAATGGCAAGAACTGTGGCCAGTGCACCTCTCCCCTCCTTCCACAGGCACACACAATTTATTGAATTAGGTTAGTTACGCAGAGATCCCATCATTGAGCGTACAAAGCTATCTGTATTATGTAATATATAGCATTGTGCTGTGGTGGTTAGTGCAGGAAAGAAGTGTGGGGTTTTGGGGGGTATGTGGAAATGATGCACTTCATAAACAGTAACAATGGTTATATACACACTTTGAAATTTTTCATTATTTACTTCAGAGATTTGTGATTTTCATGCAGAACAAAATCAGGATAGTATTTGGAATAAGCATCATTTTAATTGGAACCTTGTGAGCATAATACAGCATGAGAAAATTGACTGTGGTAATTATTTTTATAGTTTCTGGGGGCATCTGTTTACTTCACATCAATAATTCATAGAATTTCTGGAAATTAACACTGACATTATTTATCATCTTGCAGCAAACAAAGCCCAGATTATTCAAAGTAGTACAAAGAAGGAATTGGAAACTGGAGGATCAAAAAAAAAAGGTCCTATTTCATCTTCAAAGGACACCAAAACTTCTTTCAAGCCAGGACCTGTACGAGAAGGTCCACCCGTATTAGAAGATGAATCTTTCCTCTTGGAAAACTTTCAAAATAATGCTGGAAGTCCACAACAAGTAAGAGATTCCAAATAATTGGGATTTGGAAAAAAAAACCAAACTAACAATGTAGGGGTATTGATAATTCTTCTGGTACATGTGGAGATTTGATAACCTGAGGAAAGTACAAGGAATACAAAATTAAGCTTGTTGGTAGCTTCTGAATGAGGCTATGGAGAAAAGATAATGTACATATGTGGATAACCGTTTTGTTTTCAAGTCAAGGTGATGTATTCAATCCTTAAATGTTCTTCATTTGCCAAATCCAGTTCAAGTACAGCATAACTGTCTGCTAAGGGCCAAAACCTACCAGTAATGAAGTTAAACTTCTGATGCTTCTGTGAGTTTTCTTTGAAATATGATGTAAGAGAAGCCCATCTTTAACAGTTTTAATAAGGAAGCACCTATTGCCAGTCACCTGAAAGCTTTAGTAACACATGCATAATAGCTGCTACTTGAGATGAGTTTCTCAGAGAGGGTAGTCAAAAAAATGGATTTTTTTTTCTTGACTTCACCTTGTATTATTTGTCTATCTTAGAAAAATACCTTTTATTTTCTAAAAAAGTTCTAATTTCTGTATCTCCAAGTGTTTATCTACTGTGATTTTTCCTGATAATTGAGTTTAATTGCAACAAAATATTCCAAGAAAAAAAAATAAGATTATTGAGAAATAAATTCCAGGGTTGTTCCTTTGGCTCAGAACTGGCTTTAGAATTTGGAAAACAATTTTTAAAGCGAATAATTTCCTGTGTTGTGTAGACAATGTTTAAAATAACCCATGGACCCTGTCATCTATACCTCAAATCGCGACATTATTGAGTGCTAGTATTGAGGCTCAAAGCCCTGTCTTAAAATCAAAGACAAAAGTCTTTGGTTTAGCACATGGCTTACATAGGAAAGTTACATGGAAATCTTGAAGGAATGTAGCTCCTTTTTGTATAGCCCAGTTTAGTTTCACTTGATAAACATGAGTCTTTGTTTATTTTCACAAGAATTAAAATAAAATCTGTGGAATTAACACTAATTTTTTAAGTTTCTTGTGAATACTGTAATGTGCAAGCT